GTAGCTCAGAGCACACCTGTAGGGGGGGGGGGGGGGGGGAGTAGCTCAGAGCACACCTGTAGGGAGGGGGAAGTGGGCTTACACCTGATAGGGTAGTAGTCTCAAGAGCACACCTGTAGAGGGGGGGGGGGGGAGTAGCTCAGAGCACACCTGTAGGGGGGTGGGGAGGGGGGGGGGGGGAGTAGCTCAGAGCACACCTGTAAGGGGGGGGGGGGGGGGAGTAGCTCAGAGCACACCTGTAGGGGGGGGGGGGGGGAGTAGCTCAGAGCACACCTGTAGGGAGGGGGGGGGGGGGGGAGTAGCTCAGAGCACACCTGTAAGGGGGGGGGGGGGGAGTAGCTCAGAGCACACCTGTAGGGAGGGGGGGGGGGGGGAGTAGCTCAGAGCACACCTGTAGGGAGGGGGGGGGGGGGGAGTAGCTCAGAGCACACCTGTAGGGAGGGGGGGGGGGGAGTAGCTCAGAGCACACCTGTGTAAGGAGGGGGGGGGGGAGTAGCTCAGAGCACACCTGTAGGGAGGGGGGGGGGGGAAGAGTAGCTCAGAAAGCACACCTGTAGGGAGGGGGGGGGGGGGGGGGAGAGTAGCTCAGAGCACACCTGTAGGGAGGGGGGGGGGGGGGGGGAAGAGTAGCTCAGAGCACACCTGTAGGGAGGGAGGAGGGGGGGGAGTAGTCAGAGCACACCTGTAAGGGGGGGGGGGGGGGAGAGTTAGCTCAGAGCACACCTGTATGGGGGGGGGGGGGGGGGGGAGTAGCTCAGAGCACACCTGTAAGGAGGGGGGGGGGGGAGTAGCTCAGAGCACACACCTGTAAGGAGGGGGGGGGGGGGGGAGTAGCTCAGAGCACACCTGTTAGGGGGGGTTGTATATAGAGATAGGAGGGGGGTAATATGAAGGATCGGCGTCTGAGCCTCATCTGCAGCAGTGGGGGGGGGGGGGGGGGGAACTTAACTATTCTCCAGTCTGTGCATCTGCCCCATCCTCCGTCCATTGTACCTCCAACTGTATGTTTGTACCCCCCCCCTCCCCCACTGCTGACCCCATCACCCCGTGTATGTACCCCCTCCCCCACTGGTGACCCCTCACCCCCGTGTATGTACCACCCCCTCCCCCACACTGGTGACCCCTCACCCCGTGTATCGTGTACCCCCCCCCCACCCCCCACTCTGCTGCTGACTGACCCCTCACCCCCGTGTATGTACCCCCCCCCCCACAACTGCTGACCCCTCACCCCCCGTGTATGTACCCCCCCCACTGCTGCCCCTATACATGGGATACTGACTGTAAAACTAACTGATGATCTGTTGGCTACTGCCATCAGGAGGCGGAGTCATCTGCAACTGGGGGGGAGGAGCTATGTGTTCTAGTCTTACACCTAGCTTTCTTTATAGCCCTCCCCTCACTGCTGAACTACAGCGTGTCCCAGCATGGCCTTGGGCTGATATCTTCTCTGCTGAGACTTGTAGTCCGGCTGGATTGGGGTCACTCAGGTAAGAAATGAAGATCCATCACAGACAGCAGGAGTTCCACTTTATTCATTTATTTCAGAGAGCCAACGGGGATGTTACATGTTATTCATCGCCTACAATGTAGGGGGGGCGGTAATATCCTGCTACGAGACCCATAACTCCCCTACTCCCTCCACTGGGGGGTGGTAATCTGTACGAGACCTATAAACTCCTCTCTCCTACAGTGGGGGGGGGGGGGGGGGGGATAAAATCGTGTACGAGTGACCCGTAAATCTCCTCCCCCAACACTGGGGGGGGCGGTGCGGCGTAATATCTGCTACGAGTACCTATAACTGCCTCTCCTCCTCCACTGGGGGGGGCGGTAATATTCTGCTAACGAGACTCATAAACTCGCCCCTACAACTGGGGGGCGATAAGTAGAATCCTGTTTGTGCTTCGTAACTCTCATCCCCACTACCACTGGGGGGGGGTGGTAATCATCTCCTGCTACGAGACCCATAACTCCCCTCCTCCTCCACTGGGGGGGGGTATTAATGCACGGTAAATATTCTGCTACGAGAGTCATAACTCCCATCCTCCACGTGGGGGGGTGGTAATATTCTGCTACGAGGGACTCATAACTCCCCCCCTCCACTGGTGGGGGCGATAAGATCCTGTTATGCGCATCGTAACTCTCATCCCCCTACACTGGGGGGTGGTAATATCCTGCTTACGAGACCCAGTAAATCTCTCTCCCCCAACACTGGGGGCGATATCTGCTAACGGGACCCGTAAGCTCCCCCCCCCTACGCTGGGGGGTGATAATATCTTGCTGAACCCCCCCGTAGATCCCATATCTTTATTGTCCTTCAGATGACTCCAGTGGAGGATCCACAGGTTCAGGAAGAGATGTCAGTGCTCCTGGAGGGCCCTCTGTGGCCCTGCTGTTGTCATCTTTCCTCATCGCACGGCGTGGTTTGCTGGACGACGGTGTAGAAGAAACTCTTCCTCCATCCGATCCTTGTACCGCTGCTGAAGAATCCGCACTGAGGGAGGAGCGCCAGACAGGAGGGTGAGGAGCGCAGGACAGGAGGGTGAGGAGCGCAGCGGGGAGGAGCGCAGACAGGAGGGGTGAGGAGCGCAGCAGGAGGTGTGAGGAGCGCAGAGGGGAGGAGCGGCAGCCGGGGAGGGTGAGGGAGCGCAGCCGGGAGGGTGAGGGGCTCAGGCAGAGGGGAGGGGAGGGGCTCAGCCGGTGGAGGGTGAGGGGCGCAGCGGAGAGGGGGTGGGAGGCGAGCGCCGGGAGGGCGGAGGGGCGCAGCCGGGAGGGGGAGGAGGGCAGCAGGTGGAGGGGCGCCGGGAGGGGGAGGAGCGCGCCGGGTAGGGGCGCAGCCGGAAGGTGGGGGGCAGGGGGAGGGGCGCAGCCAGGAGCCAGGACCTGGCAGGGAGGGGAGCGGCCAGGAGGGGGAGGCAGCGCAGTACGGGGCCGGGAGGCTGGGAGGAGCGCAGGACTGGAGTAGGTAGGCAGCCGGGAGGGGGGGAGCGCCAAGACGGGAGGAGCGCAGCCGGGAGGGGGAGGAGCGCAGCGGGAGGGAGGAGCGCAGCAGGGTAGGGGGGGGGAGGCAGGGGAGGGGGGGCAGCGCAGCGGGAGGAGGCAGGGGAGGAGCGCAGCCGGGAGGGAGGGGGAGTGAGGAGCGCAGCGGGGAGGAGCGCATGCCGGTGATGGGGGAGGAGGGCTCAGCAGGAGGGGGTAGGAGCGCAGCCAGGAGGGGTGAGGAGCGCAGCCAGGAGGGTGAGGAGCGCAGCGAGCCGGGAAGAGGAGCGCAAGCCTGTAGGGGGAGGAGGCGGGAGGAGCGCAGACGGGGAAGGAGCGCAGCCGGAGGGGGGGAGGAGCGCGGGAGCCATGCAGGGAGGAGCGCGCCGGGAGGGGGGAGGGAGGCGCGCAAGGGGAGGAGGCGCAGCCAGAGGGGGAGCGGAGGGGGGGGAGTTGAGCGCAGGCTGTTTTAGTGGGGAGGAAGCAGCACGGGTAGGAAGCAGTGCGGGGGAGGGGGAGGGTGTGAAGCACAGCCGGGAAGAGGAGGAGCGCAGCCGGGAGGGGGGGAGGCGTGAGGAGCGCAGCCGGGAGGGGGAGGAGCGCAGACGGGAGGAGCGCAGCCGGGAGGGGGAGGGGTGCAGCGCAGCGGGAGGGGGAGGGTGCGCAGCCGGGAGGGGCGCATCCGGGAGGGGGAGGAAAGCAGGGTGTAGTGGGCTGGAAAGCAGGCGGGGGAGGAGTGTGAAGCACAGCGGGGGGAAAGGAGGAGGAGCGCAGCTGGGAGGGGGAGGAGCGCAGGCGGGAGGGGGAGGAGCGCAGGTTGTAGGGGAGGAGAGTGGTGGGCAGGGGGGAAGGGGAGGATATTGCAGGGGATGAAGGGGGAGGGTGAGGGAGCGCAGGTGGGAGGGGGTGTAGGGGGAGGAACAGGCTGTAGGGTGAGGAGAGCACCTGGGGCTGGGGGGGGAGCGGCTAGGCGGGGGGGGAGGAGTGCAGGCTGTAGGGGTGGAGAAGGGGAGCGAGGGGCTGTAGGAAGCGGGTGAGGGGGAGCGCAGGCTGTAGGCGTGTGCGCACATGGGAGGGGGAAGGAGCGCAGGCTGTAGGGGGAGGCTGTAGCGGTGAGGGAGCGCAGGTGGGAGATAGATATGGAGGGTGGGAATAATGATCGGTAAATATCAAGCAGGCAGAAGACGCCCACTGCAGGACAGGGGGAGGAGTTTATAAATGTCAATGTTGTGGCGGGGGCAGCCCCCTCCCTCTCCATGGGGGAAGTGACCGGCCTGGGGTCTGGGAACCCCACCAACCCTCATCCCCTTTACCATCCACAAGACCTGCCTGGACCCAATCCTCGACCTCCTAGCCATGGACTCAGCCCTGGGGGTGATGCTTGCTGCCTGTCCCGGGGTGCCCATCCTCATTCTGGGAGCAGAAGCTGCCTGCCCCCACCCCCGCGGTGCTGTCCTGCCTCTGGGGTGAGATGCTGCTCACCCCGCCCCCGCGGTGCCGTCCTGCTCTGGGGTGAGATGCTGCTCACCCTGCCCCGCGGTGCCGTCCTGCCTCTGGGGGTGAGATGCTGCTCACCACGCCCCCCGCGGGTGTCCGTCCTACCTCTGGGGTGAGATGCTGCTCACCCCCCCCCGCGGTGCCGTCCTGCCCTCTGGGGTGAGATTGCTGCTCACCCCACCCCCGCAGGGTGCCGTCCTACCTCTGGGGTGAGATGTGCTCACCCCACCACCGCGGTGCCGTCCTGCCTCTGGGGTGAGATGCTGCTCACCCCACCCCCGCGCGGTGCCGTCCTGCCTCTGGGGTGAGATGCTGCTCACCCCACCCCCGCGGTGCCGTCCTGCCTCTGGGGTGAGATGCTGCTCACCCCGCCCCCGCTGGGTGCCGTCCTGCTCTGGGGTGAGATGCTGCTCACCCCGCCCTGAGGTGCCATCCTACCTCTGAGGTGAGATGCTGCTCACCCCGCCCCTGAGGTGCCATCCTACCTCTGAGGTGAGATGCTGCTCACCCCGCCCGCTGAGGTGTCCATCCTACCTCTGGGGTGAGATGCTGCTCACCCCCACCCCTGGAATGCCATTTTCTGCCTCTGGGGTGTTGGAGGGGTGCTGCACCTATATACTGTATATGTGGTGCAGGGTGATGGCCCCGCCCCTTCAATGCTCCACCTCCACCCATAGGTCACCCCCTGGAGGCTTCCTTCCTCTATAAATTGTATATAATATATTACACACTGTATGTACGAGCGCTCATTTCTATAGACACACCCCTGATTGCAGAAGGCGGAGCTTGAAATGACATGACCACTTACCTTATAGAGCAGCACACAGAGGAGGAGGAGCAGGATAACCCCTCCTACTGTACTGCCCCACAATGTACGGCACGTGGGTGGGAGGAACCACAAGATCCACTTGTGTTGTCACCTGCGGAGAAGGAGACCAGTCACTGCAGGCTCCCCAATCACCCTCCTCCTGTCGTGTGATTGTGTGATTTCGGGCTCCCCCTCCTCCTGTCATGTGATTGGCCGGTCGGGGCTCCCCCTCCTCCTGTCGTGTGATTGGCCGGAATCGGGGCTCCCCTCCTCCTGTCGTGTGATTGTCGGTCGGGGCTCCCCCTCCTCCTGTCGGTGTGATTGTCCGGTCGGGGCTCCCCCTCCTCCTGTCGTGTGATTGTCCGGTCAGGGGCTCCCCCCTCCTCCTGTACGTGTGTGATTGTCCGGGTCGGGGTCACCCCCTCCTCCTGTCGTGTGATTGTCCGGTCGGGGCTCCCCCTCCTCCTAGTCGTGTGATTGTCGCTCTCCGGGGCTCCCTCCTCCCCTGTCGTGTGATTGTTCGGGGCTCCCCCTCCTCCTGTCGTGTGATTGTCCGGGGGTCGGGCTCCCACTCCTGTCGTGTGATTGTCGGGGCTCCCCCTCCTCCTGTCGTGGAATTGGCCGGTCGGGGCTCCCCACTCCTCCTGTCGTGTGATTTGGTCCGGTCGGGGGCTCCCCCTCCTCCTGTCGTGTGATTGGCCGGTCGGGGCTCCCCCCTCCTCCTGTCGTGTGATTGGCCTCGGGTCGGGGCTCGGGGCTCCCCCTCCTCCTGTCGTGTGATTGTCCTGTCGTGGTCGGGGCTCCCCCTCCTCCTGTCGTGTGATTTGTGGCTTCCCCCTCCTTGTCCGTGATCGGTCCGGGGGCTCCCCCTCCTCCTGTCGTTGTGATTGGGCTCCCCCTCCTCCTGTCGGTGGTCCGGGTCGGGGGCTCCCCCTCCTCCTGTCGTGTGATTGTCCGGTCGGGGCTCCCCCTCCTCCTGTCGTGTGATTGTACCGGTCGGGGCTCCCCCTCCTCCTCCTGTCGTGTGTCCGGGATTCGGCGGGCGATTCCCCTCCTCCTGTCGTGGATTCGGTCGGGGCTCCCCCTCCTCCTCCTGTCGTGTGATTTGGAATTGGCTCCCCTCCTCCTGGTCGGGGCTCCCCCTCCTCCTCCTGTCGTGTGATTGTCCGGTCGGGGCTCCCCTCCTCCTCCTGTCGTGTGATTGGCCGGTCGGGGCTCCCCCTCCTCCTCTGTCGTGTGATTGTGGCCGGTCGGGGCTCCCCTCCTCCCTGTCGTGTGATTGGCCGGTCGGGGCTCCCCCTCCTCCTCCTGTCGTGTGATTGGCCGGTCGGGGCTCCCCCTCCTCCTCCTGTCGTGTGATTGGCCGGTCGGGGCTCCCCCTCCTCCTCCTGTCGTGTGATTGGCCGGTCGGGGCTCCCCCTCCTCCTCCTGTCGTGTGATTGGCCGGTCGGGGCTCCCCCTCCTCCTCCTGTCGTGTGATTGGCCGGTCGGGGCTCCCCCTCCTCCTGTCGTGTGATTGTCCGGTCGGGGCTCCCCCTCCTCCTGTCGTGTGATTGTCCGGTCGGGGCTCCCCCTCCTCCTGTCATGTGATTGTCCGGTCGGGGCTCCCCCTCCTCCTGTCATGTGATTGGCTGGTCAGAGCTCCACCATCCTCCTGTCATGTGATTGGCCAGTCAGGACTGCTCACTGAGAAGTGGCAGGAATGCAGGCAGTGTCCCCAACCCCCCGATATATAGGTGAGATGTGTCCCGGGGTCACCTGTACATGGTGGAACTTCCTCCCAACTGGCTGTGATATCGCGTCTCATTGTAGCCGACCATCACCGCGCTGCTGAGATTTCCAGACTTCGCCTCCTGCAATTCACAAACATCGATCATCATGGAGGGAGGGGATGGGGGGGCACAGGAAGAGGGGGGCCGGAATTCCCCCCCCCCCCCAACCAACCCACCCACCCTCCCACATCTCCCCGGGTTTGGTGGAACTCTCAGAGCCCTGACAGCAATGTTGGCCCCTCACACAGAAAATCGGAATGAATGTTGGCCCCTCACACAGAAACGATCGGTCTAACAATGGAATGTTGGCCCCTCACACAGAAACGATCGGTCTAACAATGGAATGGTCGCCCTCACACAGAAACGATCGGTCTAACAATGGAATGTTCGCCCCTCACACAGAAACGATCGGTCTAACAATGGAATGTTCGCCCTCACACACAGAAACGATCGGTCTAACAATGGAATGTTCGCCCCTCACACAGAAACGATCGGTCTAACAATGGAATGTTCGCCCCCTCACACAAAATTATCGGTCTAACAATGGAATGTTCGCCCCTCACACAGAAATGATCGGTCTAACAATGGAATGTTCGCCCCTCACACAGAAATGATCGGTCTAACAATGGAATGTTGGCCCCTCACACAGAAACGCAACGATCGGTCTAACAATGGAATGTTAGCCCCTCACACAGAAACGATCGGTCTAACAATGGAATGTTAGCCCCTCACACACAGAAACGATCGGTCTAACAATGGAATGTTCGCCCCTCACACAGAAATGATCGGTCTAACAATGGAATGTTCGGTGTAACACTGAGAGACAGAATACAACAACAAATTCAGCAGAAATGCGTCTAACAAATGATGACGGATCTGCATGTTCATGAGGGAAAGAAGGATTGGATCCCCTTCACAAAACATGACTTAGTACTTGGTGGCCAATCCCTTGTTGGCCATCACAGAGGTCAGACATTTCCTGGAGTTGGCCCCCAGGTTCGCACACATCTCAGGAGGGATTTTGGCCCACTCCTCTTGGCAGATCCTCTCCAAGTCATTAAGGTTTGGTGGCTGACGTTTGGCAACTCGAACTTTCAGTTCCCTCCACAGATTTTCCATCGGATGAAGGTGTTGTAGACTGGCTAGGCCACTCCAGGACCTTAATGTGCTTCTTCTTGAGCCGCTCCTTTGTTGCCTTGGCCATGTGTTTTGGGTCATTGTCATGCTGGAAACACCCATCCACCACCATTTTCAATGCCCTGCCTGGAGATTATTGACAAGATCCTCACGTGTAGTTCTGGGATGATTCCTCACTGTTCTCATGATCATTGGACACCCCACGAGGTGAGATCTTGCATGGTGCACCAGACCTAGGGAGACTGACACTTGTTTTGTGTTTCTTCCATTTGTGAATGATTGCACCAACTGTTGTCACCTTCTCACCAAGCTGCTTGGCCCATAGTTTGGTAGCCCAGTCCAGCCTTGTGTAGGTCTACCATCTTGTCCCTGACATCCTTGGACAGCTCTTTGGTCTTTGCCATGGTGGAGAGTTTGGAATCTGATGGTTTGATGGCTCCTGTGGACAGGTGTCTTTTATACAGGTAACACAATGAGATTAGCAGCACTCCCTTTAAGAGACTGCTTCTAATCTCAGCTTGTTACCTGTATGAGAGACACCTGGGAGCCAGAAATCCTGCTGAATGATAGGGGATCAAATCCTTCTTTCCCTCATGAACATGCAGATCCGTCATCATTTGTTAGACGCATTTCTGCTGAATTTGTTGTTGTATTCTGTCTCTCAGTGTTACACCGAACATTCCATTGTTAGACCGATCGTTTCTGTGTGGGGGGGGGAACATTCCATTGTTAGACCGATCATTTCTGTGTGAGGGGCGAACGTTCCATTGTTAGACCGATTGTTTCTGTGTGAGGGGCGAACATTCCATTGTTAGACCGATCATTTCTGTGTGAGGGGCGAACATTCCATTGTTAGACCGATCATTTCTGTGTGAGGGGCGAACATTCCATTGTTGGACCGATCGTTTCTGTGTGAGGGGCGAACATTCCATTGTTGGACCGATCGTTTCTGTGAGAGGGGGCGAACATTCCATTGTTAGACGATCGTTTCTGGTGAGGGTCGGCGAACATTTCCATTGTTATTGTTAGAGCGATCGTTTCTGTGTGAGGGGCGAACATTCCATTGTTAGAGCGATCGTTTCTGTGTGAGGGGCGAACATTCCATTGTTTTGACCGATCGTTTCTGTGTGAGGGGGGCGAACATTCCATTGTTAGACCGATCATTTCTGTGTGAGGGGCCAACATTCACCATCGGGGGGGGGCAATACGCATTTCCTGCACTGTACCCTCCCCCATCATCCCGATACCCCCTTCCTCCCCATGTATAACCCTCCCCCATCGCCCGATACCCCCCTTCCTCCCTAACCAACATCCAATGCCCCCCCCCCCCCCCCCCCAGCCCTCATATTTAAATAAGGAATAATTTTGTGCCAAATTCTCCCAGCTCCGCCCTAAACTGCATCACATGACTGTGGAAGTCTCCATAATGTTGCTGCCATGACACACAGACCACGGGGTGGGATTACCGTCCAGGCATTCATCGGCCTCACTGTCCCCTGTCACTTGTATGTTGATGGTTCCGTGTTGCTCCACTTTTACATAGGAAGGTCTGTGGAATTTAGAAAGGAACATATGATGTCACAGTCTGCCATCGCCGTGACATCACCCCCCCCACCAGCCAATCATCACACCATACCTGGTTTCCTGGTGGTCTGGTGGACCTCTCTCGGGTCTGGGAATGGTCCGGCTCTTCACAGTTACCATTGGTGACCTGGAACATGGATTACATGTCATGTACATGTTATGTCACAGCACTGACCTGCTGGATGTATGAAGCAATGTGCCGTGTCTTACCCAACGTGTCACACGGTAATCCCAGACAAGGCCATCCGCCTCCGACGGCCAGAGCCATCACCGTGACACTGAACTCTGTGTGGACCAGGCTGGATCCCAGGTTCTGGATCTGCAAAGGGTTCAAATTGGGGGTCAGCCTAACAAGCATCCTACCTGGAATGTCCCGACCCCCCAGGGGGCGCTAGTGGGGGCTACAGACGGGCAATAGTGTCCGATCACGGCATCAATACCACGACCGGGAGGATGCAGGGAGGTACCTTCATTCCCCTTCCCCATACACCCCCCCCCCCCCCCCATACACCCCCCCCCCACCCCATACCACCCTCCACCCATTACCTAATACCCCCCCCCACCCATCACCTGATACCCCCCCACCCCATATATAAACCCTCCCCCCATCACCTGATAATACCCCCCCACCCCATATATACCCTCCACCCATACCCCCCACCACACCCTCCTCATACGACCCCCCATATACACCCTACCCCCCATCACCTGATACCCCCCCATATATACCCTCCATCACCTGACCTACCCCCCCATATATACCTTCCCATCACCTAATCCCCCCCCCACCTCCTCATAACCCCCATATATACTCTCCACCCATCACCTGATCCCTGCACCTCATCCTACCCTTCCATATATTTCCTCCACCCATAACCTGATACCCCCCCCCACCCTCCTCATACCACTCCACCCATTACCTAATACCCCCCCACCTCCTCATACCCCCCCATATACACCCTCTACCTATCACCTGATAACCCCCCCTCCCCCCCCCCATATACATCCTCCCCCCCATCACCTGATACCCCCCCACCCCATATATATACCCCTCCACCCATTACCTAATACCCCCCCCTATACATCCTCCCCCCAATCACCTGATACCCCCCACGTTTTACCATAATATACCCTCTCCAAACCCATTACCTAATACCCCCCCCCCCATATATACCTTACCCATCACCAAATACCCCCCACCCTCCTCTCCTAACCCCCATATATACTCTCTAATCACCCATCACCTGATCCCCGCCACCTCATCCTAACCCTTCCATATATTTCCTCCACCCATAACCTGATACCCCCAACCTCCTCATACCCATCTCCGTCATACACCCCCCCCCCCCCCCCCCACCTCCCCAACATATACCTTCCTCCCATAACCTGATACCCCCCACCCTCCTCATACCATCTCCTCATACCCAACCCCCCCCCCCCCAACAATATACCTTCCTTCCCATAACCTGATCACCCCCACCTCCTCATACCCCCCCATATCACCTGATAGCTCCTCATACCCCCCCATATACAGTTGCAAGAAAAAGTATGTGACCCCCACTTCCCCTTGGGATTTATGTGGAGTTTTTTGCATGAATTGGGCATAAAATGTGCTCTGAACGTCATCTAAGTCACAACAATAGAAGAACACAGTCTGCGGAACATAATACTACTACACAAACATTAGATGTTGCCATGGTTTAATTACACATAACATGTAAACATTCACAGTCGCAGGGAGAGACAAAGTATGTGAACCTTTGGACTTAAATAACTGGTTGAGAACCCTCCTTTGGCAGCAATAACCTCAACCAAGAAAAACGTTTCCTGTAGTTGCAGATCAGACCTGCACAACGATCTGGAGTCATTTTGGACCACTCCTCTTCACAAAAACTGTTTCATGTAGCAATATTCTTGGGATGTCTGGTGTGAATCGCTCTCTTAAGGTCATGCCACAGCCATTTCAATGGGGTTGAGGTCAGACTCTGACTTGGGCCACTCCAGAAGGTGTATTCTGTGCTGTTGCAGCCATTGTTTTGTTGAATGACTTTGTATGCTTTTGGGTCATCATTGTCCCTGTTGCATCACCCATCCTCTGCGGAGCTTCAGTTGGCGGACAGATGTGTTCGTAACGTTATCCTGCAAAATGTCTTGATAAACTCTTGTGGAATTCATATTTCCCATCAATGACAACAATCCTTCCAGCCCTGAGGCAGCAAAGCAGCCCCAAAACCATGATGCTACCCCTCGCCATGTTTCACAGTTGGGATGAGGTTTTGATGTTGGTGTCTGTGCCCTTGTTTTCTCCAACATAGTGTTGGTGTGTCCAGACTTCCCAAAAAACTCAATCTTGGTTTCATCTGTCCACCGTATATTCTGCCCAGTATTGCTGTGGAACATCCAGGGCTCTCTAATGCAAACTTCAAACGTGCTGCTAAATATTTTTTTCTTTGGACTAACAGCAATGGGCATCCCTCCCGTGGTGTCCTCCCATGTACTCCATTCTTGTTACTGTACTTTTACCTTATTGTAGATGTGTCAACAAAAACATGTCACGCATGTGCCAGATATTTCTAGTAGAGGTCTTTAGCTGACACTCTGGGAATTCTTCTTTACCTCATGCAGAGCAATTCTGCGCTGTGCTCTTGCAGTCATTTTTTACAGGACACCACGCCTAGGGAGAGTAGCAACCAGTGCAAAACTTTCTTCCATTTGTAAGACAGTCTGTCTTACCGTGGAAACACAGAAATACCAGCAAGGCTAAAGGAGAATACTTTTGTAACCCCTTTCCAGCTTCATGCAAGTCTAACAATTCTTGATCAGTCAAGGTCTTCTGAAGCTCATTTTCTGCGAGGCATGGTTCACATAAGACTAGTGCTTCTGAAACCAGTAAACCCAAAACATGGTGTCAGCAACACATCCAAATTCATCACACTTCTGATTGGAGTCAAAGGTATGGTCCGGAGGGTGGGGGGGGGGGACTGCCAATTAGGCTCTGGGAGAAGTACATTAAGGCTAGGGGGGGCCGTAACGATTAAAACAGTTTTTCCCTCCCTGCGCTGTGAATGTATCAAATGTTATGAGCAATTATACCATGGGCAACATCTAATGTTAAATGTAGTATAATGTTCAGATAGTATTCACTGGTGTCTTCTATTTTGTGACTTAGATGACGTTCAGTAAAAGCAAATTATATGACCAAATTCATGCAAAACTCCACGGAATCCCCAAGGGTTACACATACCTTTTATCTTGCAACTGTGATACCCCCCCCACATCACTGATACGTCCTCCACCTCCTCATACCGCCCCCCCACTATATTAACCCCCCACACATCGACCATAACCTCCACCATCCTCACTTACCCCCCCCCCCATATATACCCCCCCACATACCTGATACCTCCACCTACCTCATACCCCCCCCATATATAACCCTCCCCCATATATACACCCCCCAACATCATGATACCTGATCCACCTGCACACCTCATATACCCCCCAATAAATATACCCCTCCCCCCACATCACGCTGATACTCTCCACCTCCTCATACCACCTCTCTCACCCCCACATACTATTGGAAGCCCCCAACCACCTCATCATACACCCCCCTCACCCATAATATATTATTCCCCTGTCATATTAAATAGCGCATCATTATGATATATATCTTTTCCCCCCACACCTGATGAAAAATGCCCCCATTCTCCTTACCCCCCCCCCCATATTAAGATTCTAAACTCCAATCACCCATACCTGAACCCACCCACTTCCTCAAATATACCCCACAAAACCCCATATCTCACCTCTACACAAGTAATCACTGATACTTTTCACCTCATACCCCCCATATATATACCTCCTCCATCTGAATACCCGACCCCGTCAAGCCCCCCCTGATACCCCACCTAGGGGGGGGGGGGGGGGGGGGGGGGGGGGGGGGGGGGGGGGATCCCCTGCACCTCCTCATAAGGCCCATACATATATACCTTTGCCCTCCATCGCTGATGCCCTCAACCACGTTTCTGATCATTCCCCCCCCATATTTACCTGTAATTTGTTCCCCCAATCACCTGAATATCCCCACCTCATACCCCCCCCCCCCCCCATGCATATCCCTCCTCAACCACTATCTCATGCTCCCACGCACCTTCCATCACTACTCCACTCCCCCTAGTATAACGTCAAATTCCACCCCAATCACCTGCACCCCCCACCTTCCTCATGCTATGTCCTCCAATCACTAAACCGCCAATTAATATACCTCAAACTCATACCCCCCCTATATATATATATTTCTAATATATAATTTATATATATATTCTATCTATTATATCTTTTCCCATCACCTTTACCCCACCTCACATTACCCCCCCCCCCCCCATTATATCTTCCTCCTTCATCACCTGATACCCTTTTCTTCTACTATACACGCCCAACTATCCATTAGTGATTCTTACTCCCCCTACACGCTCCCCTCCCCTCACCCGATACTCCCCCTACACGCTCCCCTCCCCTCTCACCGGCATACTCCCCCCTACACGCTCCCTTCACCCGCATACTTCCCCCTACACGCTCCCCTCCCCTCACCCGATACTCCCCCTCTAACACGCTCCGCTCTCACCCGCTACTACCCCACCCCTACACGCTCCGCCCTCCTTCACCTGATATGCATGGGTCACATCACTCTGCTCCTCACCTGATACTCCCCCTACACGCTCCGCCCTCACCCGCTACTCCCCGTACACACGCTCCGCCCTCCACGCACTCCGCTACTACTCCCCGTACACGCTCCGCCCTCACCCGCTACTCCCCGTACACGCTCCGCCCTCCTTCACCTGATATGCATGGGTCACATCACTCTGCTCCTCTTTTTCGATGAATTGAAGATATTTCGTTGAGTTTTCCACCCTGTAAGGTGACAACATACATAGAACATGTACAGAGACATGAAGAACACATAAAGCCCAACACAGAGCTCTTCAGAACATGAGGGACACGTATGTACAAAATCCTCCTGACACATACACAGGTCACATGGGAAATGACCTATGAACAGACCTGCGACTGATGATGTTGATTGGATACAGGACGGGGACGTCTCGGGTCACCTTGTTCATCTTGCTGGTCTTGTTCCCATCGTTCTCACTGTCCAGTAATGAAAATATCAGCAAGTCAAACTTCTCCCCTCTTTAGTCCCCGAACCATTGGAAACCAACCAATAACAGGACTGAATGCATCTCCCCGCCCTCCTGTGAGCCACAGCCAATTACATGGAGTCAATGAGATGGCTACAATGAACTATGGCCTCTTCCACTCACCTGGTGACTTGAAAAGTTAGCTGGACCCGATCCGGCCAGGAGACATTGGCAACAATTCCAAACATGATGTGGATGTCGGCCTGTAAACCAGAATCACCATTCAGTTCCGTCATACCTGGAGCTCATCATTAACCATCCCGTCATTCCAGGACTCCCTCAGTCTTCTCTGAAGGCATTTCCATCCTTTCCAGGACCTTCATCTTCTTTCTTTGATTACTGCAGAAATCTCATATGTCCTGCATACATGTACCCTCCATACTGCTCCTCCAAACAACTCCCCCATACATGTCCTCCGTACTGCTCCTCCAAACAACTCCCCCATACATGTACCTCCGTACTGCTCCTCCAAACAACTCCCCCATACATGTCCTCCGTACTGCTCCTCCAAACAACTCCCCCATACATGTACCTCCGTATTTCCTCCTCCCCAAACAACTCCCCCCCACACGTGTCTTCTCCGTATTCCTCCTCCAAACAACTCCCCCCACACGTGTCCTCCGTATTCCTCCTCCAAACAACTCCCCCATTACGTGTCCTCCGTATTCCTCCTCCAAACAACTCCCCCACACATGTACCTCCGTACTTCTCCAAACAACTCCCCCCACACATGTACCCTCCGTACTTCTCCAAACAACTCCCCCACACATGTACCTCCGTACTTCTCCAAACAACTCCCCCACACATGTACCTCCGTACTTCTCCAAACAACTCCCCCATACGTGTCCTCCGTACTGCTCCTCCAAAAAAACTCCCCCACACACGTGTCCTCCGTACTGCTGTCCTCCGTTACTGCTCCTCCAAACAACTCCCCCACACGTGTCCTCCGTACTTCTCCTCCAAACAACTCCCCCACACGTGTCCTCCGTATTCCTCCTCCAAACAACTCTCCCACACGTGTCGTCCCTCCGTATTCCTCCTCCAAACAACTCCCCCACACGTGTCCTCCGTATTCCTCCTCCAAACAACAAACTCCCCCACAGGTGTCCTCCGTATTCCTCCTCCAAACAACTCCCCCACAGGTGTGTCCTCCGTACTTCTCCTCCAAACAACTCCCCCACACATGTACCTCCGTACTTCTCCTCCAAACAACTCCCCCACACATGTACCTCCGTACTTCTCCTCCAAACAACTCCCCCATACGTGTCTTCCATATCTCCTCCTCCGAACAACTCCCCCCACACATGTACCTCCGTACTTCTCCTCCAAACAACCTCCCCACACATGTACACCGTAACTTCTCCGTCCATACTTCTCCCCACCAAACACTTCTCCCCCACTCCCACATGTACCTCCGTACTTCTCCTCCAAACAACTCCCCCACACACGTACCTCCGTACTTCTCCAAACAACTCCCCCACACACTTACTATCCGTACTTCTCCTCCAAACAACTGCCCCCACACATTTACCTCCGTACTTCTCCTCCAAACAACTCCCCCACACATGTACCTCCGTATTCCTCCTCCAAACAACTCCCCCACACATGTCCTCCGTATTCCTCCTCCAAACAACTCCCCCACACATGTCCTCCCTATTCCTCCTCCAAACAACTCCCCCATACATGTCCTCCGTATTCCTCCTCCAAACAACTCCCCCATACATGTCCTCCGTATTCCTCCTCCAAACTCCTCTTCCAAATATCTCCCCTATACATGTCCTCAATGCATCTCCTCCATACTCCTCCTACAAACATCTCCCCCATTAAATATCCTTCAAACATCTCCTCTATACATCTATTCCATACATATCCTCCATACATCTCCTGCATACATGTCCTCCATACATGTCATCCAAACATCTCCTTCAAACGCCTCTTTCATACATCTCCTACATACATGTCCTCCATACATCTTCTCCATACATGTCCTCCATACATCTTCTCCATACATGTCCTCCATACATCTCCATCTTCTCCATTAATGTCCTCCATACATCTTCTCCATTAATGTCCTCCATACATCTTCTCCATACATGTCCTCCATAAATCTCATCGAAACATCTCCTCCATACATCTCCTTCATGCATCTCCTTCATATATGTCCTCCACACCTCCCCCCTTCCTCACCACCATCATTTGTATCTGATGTCTCTCCTCTATCTGCCTTCCTCTTGTATCAAATACACAATTCTCTTCCATTTCCTTCCCTGACTGTATCTCCTTCACACCTTCCCCTCCCGCTCTGTAGACTCACCCAGGAGGCCTGTCTCATGATAGGGTGACTGATATTACATGAGAGACTTTGGGTGTCTAAACCTTCACACAACAGTGGGATCCTCCGTGATGCCTTCAAAGAACAGGAAATGATGATTATTCCTCAAGAATAATGGATGATAAACAAAGCGTATGACTCAGTTGACCGATCAATCACATGACCTCAATCAGTACCTTTGTAATATTGACTTTGCGGAAAGACAGTCCAGTTGAGAAGGTGGCCCGAAGCTTTGCCCTCTGGGCATTTTCTCCCTTGTTCCAAAGTTTGAGAAACACTGAGAATGACGCTCCTTCCTCCACGACCAACTTTTCCATCCTGAAACAGACAATATATGTGATCCAGAGGAAAAGCTGCTCGTCCCATCCTTCGTACATGGACATAAGATCGCTGAATTAGACATCAGCTTTGGGTCGAATGTGATTTCTGCCTAAAATCAGCCTTTTCGTGGTTTGGCGAACCCTGTACAACCTGGTCATATTTCGCCAGTTCGCCAGTCTGAATCCCCAACTGCTATATGTGTGGAGAAACTGGCCAGGGATCACGAGCAACATCATTGACCTATTAGGGTCATGACCATATTTGGTCAATGATGTCACCCAGGATTCCCTGGGACCACTGTTTACATTATAGCAGTGCTGGGGACTCTGTCATTTGGTGCCTGCAGTGTGGTGGAGCAACATTGTCTGGCAGCGGGTCACCATGGTGGTGGGGAAACATAGGAGGTAGGTCATTGCAATTGATGATGGATCTAAATTGCTTTATGATCTGACTGACAATGGATTTCTATGGGGGGGGGGGGGGGGGCAGTGTTAAAAGTTCTTTATTGACAAGAAAAAAATGTAGACAGGGTGGGTGTCTTACTTTTAACTCTTTGTGGGACTGGCCAAGGTGTACCAATGTACCACTCTACTCGTTCCCGTGGGAGAGATGTCTGATGCTCCCCCCCCTCCACCAAGCCCCACATCCTGTTTCCGATATCCCCCAAGCATGTTCTTTAAAGGATTTGTGTATTTTCAATGTTAAGTCGCATGAAAAGAACCATCGAGGTTTCTGATATCGCTTTATAAATGATATGGCATATCAAGGGGACCTTACGAAACGATGCAGATCTCAGATAAACCCAAAACCACAGGAGTCCCTGAGGAATATTTAGTGGGACTTCAGAAACCTGAGACTTGGAGCTACAAGAGGAGTTGTGTGCGGCTCCCTTGGGACGTGGACTATTCGACCGTGGACAATGGATACTCAACAAACAACAAAGACTTTAGGACTGCCAATCCACCGAGTCTGTTCCTCCAGCTGGCAGAGGACACTCATTACAGAGTCATCTTCCAGCATTGTGGAGAAACGCCAACATCTGAAGGAAAATCAATGGCAGAGTCCGACTTCCTGGAACCTTTCCACAAATGGCTGGAATGTACGGAGAGGTCAAAGGAAAGTGAATGTATTTCAATGAGAAGACAAATCGTATGATTCCTTTGGAGCGCTACTGGAAAATGAGAAGTATAACACGATAAACTTCGTCAACGTATCCATGTATAGGACATCTTACTGTCTGAAGGACTCCGTGATGACCACAAATATAGTGCCGCGGATTACCAGAACACCTAAAGCAGGAAATACGGCTTCTCATAATACGGGTTCAGAAATGCACAATGAAGTGATAGTTCTCCAGATAATACCGAAAAAAATTGTTCTCTGGATAAAATAAATCACACACAACAAATATCACAAAATGATAGTACAGTGATGACTATGAGCAGGGGCGGACTGACCACTTGGAAACTTGGGCACCGCCCGAGGGCCCGGGGGTCAGTAGGGGACCCCGTGATCTCCTATTGCCCGGGGGCCCCATGAGTTGTCAGCCTGCCCCTGACTATGAGGATAGATAACAGCATACACACTGAGGACTGCGCCTGTCCACACTTTTACAGGGATATCTGAACAAAGCACATCCCTCTACAGTGTGTCCTTGTCTCAGTCCAAAGCACTGAGTGTCATTTCTGTCTGATGCCTCATTCCTCTGCTATCAGCATGAGTCCCTTCTGGCAGTTTTTCCTGACACCAAGAGAAAAGTGGTGACAGGGGAGGGAGCGCCAGCACACAGCCTGTGATTGACAGCCTCAGCTCTGCTCCTGTGTGACGGGAGGTGTCCCTTTCTCCATCCCAATCAGCTCAGCTCTCCTCACTGAAGTTACTTCAGTTCCCACCCCTGCTTTTCAGAGCTGAGAGATCCAGTGTAAATTCGGCACTTTGAATGGATGGAGGGGACAGACAGCTGCAGATAAACGGGTACAACGTGTGTAGGAGGATTTGTTCCATCTCTGTGTATCCCCTGAGGCCGGTCACTGCACTGGGGATTGGAGGGTTTACAGCCAAGAAATGGTTGAATTGAATAAATCGAATGTTATTTCCTGAAGACCTAAAATAGGAATTCCGACCAGCAGGTTAAACTACTGAAGTTCCTCCCAGCCAGGTGTCAGTAAATATTCTGAATGACACCCTCCAGGCTGCCTGAGACAAGGAACGTTTGGGTATAAAAAGGGAAGTTCAGGAATGAAAGGGATGATCGTTATCAGGATCAGCTTCATCACTCGCCACCCAACGGACCATCATCTCCATCACCGAGCCTTCCAACAAGACGAACGCTCTCAATCTACGGCTCTGTCCATCGATCTCCCCGAGAGGCCTCCACACCTCCTCTGCAGGTCATCACACAAGTGGCCTGCTACCCCCGGCTGTGGCTCCATGACCCCCGCCTGTGGCTCCACGACCTCCTCCCCGGCTGTGGCTCCACGACCCCCCCGCTGTGGCTCCACGACCCCCCCGCGCCTGTGTGGCTCCACGACCCCCCCGCCTGTGGCTCCACGACCCCCCCCGCCTGTGGCTCCACGACCCCCCGCCTGTGGCTCCACGACCCTTCACAAGATATCTTTATTGGTAAACTTTACATTTATTAACTACTTTGCAACATTTTCCTCTCACTTCCGAAGGCAGCTGTGAATTTCAGTTTCTTGTGGGAGATTTTGGCATTAAATCCTATTCAAAAGGTAAATTCACCACCTGAGGAATCAGGGAAGATCAGAGGGAAGGTCTGCTATGGTGGACCTTGTTGTCTGCCAGTATAGGCCCATTCCTAAGGCAGGAGTGATGGTACCTTCTGAATGGAAAATATACCCCGAGGTCATCCCAGAGGACAAGGGGGCGCTCTTCACGTCTGGAGGAAAAGAAATGTCATCTCCAAACACGGAAAGGTTTCTTCACAGTAAGAGCTGTGAGAATGTGGAATAGACTTCCTCCAGAGTTGGGTTGTGGCAGCTCAGTGGATTGCTGTAGGAAAGTCCTGGATTCTTTCTTGGATACACAGAATATAACTGGATAGAACATTTATAGGGGAAGGTGAATATCCGATTATTGATCCCGGGAATATCCGATTATTGATCCCGGGAATATCCGATTGCCTCTCGGGGGGTCAGGAAGGAATTTTTCCCTGCAGGAGGAGATTGGATCGTGCTTTGCTGGGTTTTTGCCTTCCTCTGGATCCACCGTGGGTGTAGGATTATAACGTTTTTTTTCTATGGTTGAACTGGATGGACTTTTGTCTTTTTTCAGCCAGACTAACTATGGAACTATGTAAGATCATCTGCTGCATCCTCGATTCCTCGGCCTAATCTTTAGGCGTACAAATGATTGTGGGAGTCATGTGACATTTATTGAACGTGTCCATATTTTGTGATAAATCAGACGGAGGTACAATATGTGATTGTTAGTGACTTGATTGGTGCAGAAATTGTTATTTTATCGCTACGTTGTCTATATTCCATACAAATGTGCTACAAAATCTCTACAGAGTAACCCTCCCGAAGGTAAAGAAGCCCGCGGGGTCCATCTCTCCATTCTATCGAACAATTCCTTGATATTGCTGACTTCATTCATTGGTCGAACTTCCTGACACATCACCCTCCACTGTACAGCAACAAAAACATCCAAACCAGAAGGCGCACCAGCCTAGCGCATGACCGCCATGTTACCTTTATTAGAACAAAAAGCAGATGTGGACTCAAAGGACATGAAACAAATGGCACGTCCATCCCCTCCTCCTCAGCCCATTGGCTCTGATGAAGAGGGGGTCGCCCTCGAAACGCGTCAGTCTTATGGATCCCAAAAGGGACTCGTCCAGGAGATGTATGTACCGTCTGATGGACGCGCCAATTCCTTTCACGTGCCGTCTGACGGACGCGTCCTTTCACGTGCCGTCTGATGGACGCGCCATTCCTTTCACGTACAGCCTGACGGACGCGCCATTCCTTTCACGTACCGTCTGATGGACGCGCCATTCCTTTCACGTACCGTCTGATGGACGCGCCATTCCTTTCACGTGCCGTCTGACGGACGCGCCATTCCTTTCACGTGCCGTCTGATGGACGCGCCATTCCTTTCACGTACAGCCTGACGGACGCGCCATTCCTTTCACGTACCGTCTGATGGACGCGCCATTCCTTTCACGTACGTCTGATGGACGCGCCATTCCTTTCACGTGCCGTCTGACGGACGCGCCATTCCTTTCACGTGCCGTCTGATGGACGCGCCATTCCTTTCACGTACAGCCTGACGGACGCGCCATTCCTTTCACGTACCGCTGATGGACGCCATTCCTTTCACGTACCGTCTGATGGACGCGCCATTCCTTTCACGTACAGCCTGACGGACGCGCCATTCCTTTCACGTACCCCGTCTGACGGACGCGCCATTCCTTTCACGTACCGCCTGACGGACGCGCCATACCTTTCACGTACCGTCTGACGGACGCGCCATTCCTTTCACGTGCCGCCTGACGGACGCGCCATTCCTTTCACATATCGTCTGACGGACGCGCCATTCCTTTCACGTGCCGCCTGACGGACGCGCCATTCCTTTCACGTATCCTCTGACGGACGCGCCATTCCTTTCACGTATCGTCTGACGGACGCGCCATTCCTTTCACGTGCCGCCTGACGGACGCGCCATTCCTTTCACGTGCCGCCTGACGGACGCGCCATTCCTTTCACGTATCGTCTGACGGACGCGCCATTCCTTTCACGTGCCGCCTGACGGACGCGCCATTCCTTTCACGTATCCTCTGACGGACGCGCCATTCCTTTCACGTGCCGCCTGACGGACGCGCCATTCCTTTCACGTGCCGCCTGACGGACGCGCCATTCCTTTCACGTATCGTCTGACGGACGCGCCATTCCTTTCACGTGCCGCCTGACGGACGCGCCATTCCTTTCACGTGCCGCCTGACGGACGCGCCATTCCTTTCACGTATCGTCTGACGGACGCGCCATTCCTTTCACGTGCCGCCTGACGACGCGCCATTCCTTTCACGTGCCGCCTGACGGACGCGCCATTCCTTTCACGTGCCGCCTGACGGACGCGCCATTCCTTTCACGTATCGTCTGACGGACGCGCCATTCCTTTCACGTGCCGCCTGACGGACGCGCCATTCCTTTCACGTGCCGCCTGACGGACGCGCCATTCCTTTCACGTGCCGCCTGACGGACGCGCCATTCCTTTCACGTATCGTCTGACGGACGCGCCATTCCTTTCACGTGCCGCCTGACGGACGCGCCATTCCTTTCACGTGCCGCCTGACGGACGCGCCATTCCTTTCATGTATCGTCTGATGGACACGCCATTCCCTTCACGTGCCGCCTGACGGACGCGCCATTCCTTTCACGTGCCGCCTGACGGACGCGCCATTCCTTTCACGTATCGTCTGACGGACGCGCCATTCCTTTCACGTATCGTCTGACGGACGCGCCATTTCCCTTTCACGTGCCGCCTGACGGACGCGCCATTCCTTTCACGTACCGTCTGATGGACGCGCCATTCCTTTCACGTGCCGCCTGACGGACGCGCCATTCCTTTCACGTGCCGCCTGAAGGACGCGCCATTCCTTTCACGTACCGCCTGACGGACGCGCCATTCCTTTCACGTACCTTCTGACGGACGCGCCATTTCTTTCACGTACCGTCTGACGGACGCGCCATTCCTTTCACGTACCGCCTGACGGACGCGCCATTCCTTTCACGTATCGTCTGACGGACGCGTCATTCCTTTCACGTGCCGCCTGACGGACGCGCCATTCCTTTCACGTGCCGCCTGAAGGACGCGCCATTCCTTTCACGTACCGCCTGACGGACGCGCCATTCCTTTCACGTACCGCCTGACGGACGCGCCATTCCTTTCACGTACCTTCTGACGGACGCGCCATTCCTTTCACGTACCGTCTGACGGACGCGCCATTCCTTTCACGTACCGCCTGACGGACGCGCCATTCCTTTCACGTACAGCCTGACGACGCGTCATTCCTTTTCACGTACCGTCTGACGGACGCGTCATTCCTTTCACGTGCCGCCTGACGGACGCGTTCATTCCTTTCACGTGCCGCCTGACGGACGCGTCATTCCTTTCACGTGCCGTCTGACGGACGCCTCATTCCTTTTACGTACCGCCTGACGGACGCGCCATTCCTTTCACGTACCGTCTGACGGACGCCTCATTCCTTTTACGTACCGCCTGACGGACGCGCCATTTCCTTTCACGTACCGTCTGACGGACGCCTCATTCCTTTTACGTACCGCCTGACGGACGCGCCATTCCTACCGTCTGATGGACGCGTCATTCCTTTCACGTACCGTCTGATGGACGCGTCATTCCTTTCACGTACCGTCTGACGGACGCGCCATTCCTTTCACGTACCGCCTGATGGACGCGTCATTCCTTTCATGTCCTTTGTGAGCACACATCTGCTTTTTATTCCAATAAAGGTAATATTGAGGTCATGCGCTAGGCTGGTACACCTTCTGTTTTTGGTGTTTTCAAGTTGCATCTCGGTTTCCCCTGACCTGTTGGAGGGCAGCATAGCCGGTGCCATCTTTGACCTACTCCAAGGCCATTCTCTCTGTTAACAGTCCCATGGTGCCAACACATTGCTCTTGAGCGCAGGAGGTGCTTTCCTTGTTTATTAAACGTATGCCCTATGGCAGTGCCAAGCTCTCCATGCTTTGTTGTACCAATAGATTACCTTTGGTGTTCACAGACTTCCAGTTGGTTTCCCTGAACCTCCCATGAACTGATCCCCACACTGGATCACTGTAGGGTCTGATCTGGGCTCAGAGAACCGGAATATCTGAATGGATGCTGACCATACCATAGAGGCTGTAGACCCAACCCATAGCCAGGATCTCCTCCACAGCGACTCGGCAGGCCTGGAGTACATTTATGGTCTGGTGACAACGTGGTACTTACGATAGATCTAGGTGGAAGTCGGGCTCACAGCTTTCTCCACTGCCACAGAACTGGAAGGGAATCTACAGGGAGGCAGAAAAGACGTCATGTGATATATCGGGTATATACACCCAATGGCCACTAACACACAATGCCAAAGTGCAACCCCGAGCAGACAACATGCAGACGTGGTCAAAGGCCACCCATTGGAATGGAGAAAAGTAGTAATTACTGGTGGCAGACTTGGTTGTAGCGTCTCAGAAGCTGCGATTTCACACATTACCATCTCTAGAGGTAACAGAGAACATATGACTGGCAGCTCTGTGGTGAGAACACCTTGTTATTGGGGGAGAGCAAACGGGTGGACTGGTGCAGGCCGACAGGAAGTCCATGGGGCCCCCGATAACTGCTCTTTACCTATTTAAGGGCCCAGCCTTTTTCTCACACTTTTTGTTTACATGTAACAATCAGTCATTTTTGCTGGAAATCTCAGAACCCCAATTACCAATCATAGATTTTTTTTTTAGCAGAGGCCCTAGAGAATAAAATGGCGGTCTTTGCAATTTCTTATGACACACGGTATTTGCGCAGCGTTTTTTCAAACACAATTTTAATCAATTTAAAAAAAAAAAAAAAACACACAATATATACCCCAATTTGTTTTTGTAAAATATGAAAGATGACGTTACGCCGAGTTAATAAATACCCAACACTTTAAAATTGCGCACGCTCGTGAAATGGCGCCAATCTACGGTACTTAACCATTTCAATACCGGGCAATTTTCCCCCTTCCTGCCCCCAGGCCATTTTTTCAGGTTTCAGCACTCTCACACTTTGAATGACAATTGCGCGGTCATACAACATTGTACCCAAACTAAAATGTTATCATTTTCTTCACACACCTAGAGCTTTCTTTGGTGGTATTTAATCACTGCTGGGGTTTTTATTTTTTGCTAAATTAACAAAAAAAGACCAAAAATTTTGAAAAAAAAAAACACATTTTTCTTTGTTTCGGTTATAAAAGTTTACAAATAAATAATTGTTCTTCATAAATTTAGGCCGAGATGTATTCTACTACATGTCTTTGGTGTGAGAATAACCCAAATTAGGATGTATTATTTAGTTTGTAGGAAAGTTATAGAGTTCACAAACTATGGTATAGATCTGAATATTGATCAATCCTGAAGTACTGACAGCCAATCTAATTTCTTGAGGTCCAAGAATGTCAGAACAGTACAGATATCCCCCAAATGTCAGGACGGTACAGATGTCCCCCAAATGTCAGGACGGTACAGATATCCCCCAAATGTCAGGACAGTACAGACATCCCCCCAAATGTCAGGACAGTACAGATATCCCCCAAATGTCAGGACGGTACAGATATCCCCCAAATGTCAGGACAGTACAGATATCCCCCAAATGTCTGGACAGTACAGATATCCCCCAAATGTCAGGACAGTACAGATATCCCCCAAATGTCAGGACGGTACAGATATCCCCCCCAAATGTCAGAACAGTACAGATATCCCCCAAATGACCCCTTTTTGCAGAGCAGACAGCCTGAAGTACTTCATAAGAGGCATGGCGAGTTTTTTGAAGTTGTATTTTTATGTCATAATTTTTCGGAAAAATGAAAAAATTAAAAAAATTATTTTCACTGTTTTTTTTTTTTTACATACTGTCACCAGTGCAGTACAGCGTCATCATATAACTGGCATGGCGGTGATCAGGGACACTGACTGGTGACAGTATGAAAAAAAAAAAAAAAATATATATTATTATTTTTTTTTATTATATTAATTTTTTTTATTACATTTTTTTTTTATTTTTTTTAAGATTTTTTTTTTTCATATTTTACTATGACCAAAGTAGTACAAAGTTACCATAGTAACATTGTACTACTTTGGGGAAGTGATCAGTATTTTTTTTTTTTTTTTTTTTTTACACAATTTGCTTATAGCGAAGAATTACTTTCCTCTCAGCAAGCATTTACCTCAATGACATCGATTCATTCAGCTTTTTTTTTTTTTTTTTTTGTGCTTAGCTGTGATTTGGTCACAGCTAATCACATGACATGTGCATGTGACCTGCTGTGACCATTCACAGCTAGGCACTAGTATACAATGGATGGCATCATGAATGAAGCCATCCATTGTATACAACTGTCATGTGACCTGTGTGATTGGTCACAGCAGGTCACATGGTACCAGCAACGGGAGCCGGTACTCGGATCTGTCATCGGCCGTGTCCGAGGTGCACGGCCCGTGACAGATCCCGCTGCTGCGCCGCTCTGCATTACCGCAAACTGCGCATGTGCGGGAGCACGCCAAATGGCGTGCACCCGGAATGGAGGAGCACATCTGAAGCGACCAAACGGCCATTGGCCAAAAATCTCCATAGGTGACGCTTTAAAATTTCTACAGGTTAGCAGTTTAGAATGACGGAGGAGCTCTAGTGCTAGAATGATCGCTCTCGCTCCGATGTTCGCTGCAATATCTCACGTGTGTGGTGTGAACATCATTTACATATGTGGGCGTGACCTATCTATGCGTTCACCACTGCATGCGTGCACAGAGGGATGGGGGCGCTTTGATTTTTTTTTTTTTTTAATTATGAGTGGATTCCATCTTTTCTTCACTCACCTCTGTGTCTTGCTGCTGCCAGCGCCGGAGCGCGCCGGAGCTCCTGATCATGCAGGTAAGACCAGGAACCATCAGGAAGCGGGGGGAGGGGGACCCCTCCTGCGCTTTTAAAAGTGATCCTGTGCCGAATCCGCCACTTGGATCACTTTTATAAGAAAGTCCAGTGCCTGAGGAAAACATTATTAGCGGGGTCATGGCATCCAGCTGCAGCCATACTCCCGGTATCAAATGTCAAAACATGACGTATTGTCCCAGTTAGGCGTCGGCAAGTGGTGACAGCAGTGCTGAAGGCCATCTCAATACACACAACATGAGGAACCTTGAAGGTCAACAACTAGAAGACCACCCTGGGCTCCTCTCCAGTAAATGAGGCCACAGGGGCCACCAGATCTCCAGCATTGATGGAATGAAGATTGGAAGAACATTGTCTGTTCAATCTTGATATCTGCTATGACAAGCAGATGGAGGTTCAGGATTTGGGGAACACACCATGAGCCCATGGATCCATCTTGTCTGGTGTCAGTGGTTCAGGCAGGTCATACAATAATGGTTTGGTACTGTTTTCTGTGTTGGCCCACTGTGAAGGCCACTCAGTGACCACAAGAGACGCCACACTTACCTGGGTGCTGGCTATGAGACTGCTGGATGGAGAGAGAAGCCAACGAGAGACATTTGGGACCTGAGAGGCCGTAAGAGACACCAACACAGAAGAGCTGTCCTCCAGAGAACAATCCTGAGACAGATGGAGACATCAGTCACAATGCAGGACAAGAAATCTTGTGAACACCAGTCCCATAACATAAGATGAGATTCTGGACAATTCCCCAACTATCATAATGACCCCCATCAAGGGTGACCTATCAGAGGGACAGAGATAACATGACCACATCTCTTACCAGAAGGGAAATGCTGTGATTCCAGCACACACGCTGAGCCACTCCAAGAACAATGGTCTCTGTCTTCTCCCTCTGACTGTTTGGGAAGGACATTCGGTTGACAAAGCGCCCAGAATCCAGAGTTACCGAGTACTGGGAGAGAGACATTCAGGGGCCCTAAAAGAGAGAAGACCAGGTGGTGACCAGGGGCTCTGAGATAGAAAGACTGTGCCTGGGGAACTGGAGACCCCAATACTGGGACCTATTGGAGTGTTCAGGAGAGAGACCTTCAGGGATCCTGAAAAGGGAAGTAATGGGGGATTCTAATAGAGAGAGAAGAAAGGAGAGTTATAGAGGGGGAGTGGCTCTTAGAGATAAATCAGGAGAGTAACCAGGGGTTCTTAAAGATGGGAGGGAGATGGGGGGAGGAAAGTAGAGCAATGGGGGTCATCATAGAATAAAGGAGTATAATGGCATGGTCCTTCTAGAGGAAAGAATGGAAGAGATATCTCATGCATTTGATAGGGCGGCTCATGGAATGACACAATATGGAGGACCTCTGGCTGTCTCTGCACCTGTAAATTGGGTGGTTTGGATTTGGGGGTCTACACATATCTCCAGGATCACTTCAATCCCACAGATGGCGCTCTCCACGGTGGGGATAGGGATCTCCGGCGGTATGGACGTCATGGTTACACTGACGTTGAGCAGAGGTTGTGACCTGAATAAGAGACATCAGTCGGGTTATTAATTCCCAATAAAACAAATCTAACATTCCAAAGAGGAAAACAACAATGACCTGAAGAGGGTGACACTGCCCGCTGCTCCCACCGCAACATCCGTCAGCCCGTCCCGCGTCATGTCCAGCACTCCGTGAACAGACAGACCAAAACCAGAACTCTGAGTAGGAGCCGTCAGACGCTGATAAGAGGGGAAAACAGCTCAATGTCCAGAGGAGGGGCCGCTCAGCCCTCCCGAGACCCCTTCATACAACCCATTTCCAGCCTCTTACCTGGCTATATTCAGCGTTCACCCCTCCAGCCCCTCCTCCGTATATGTACAGCGCTCCTCTCCCCTCCATCTCGTACGGCGCTCCAACTGCCACATCACTGAAACCATCTCCATTCAGATCACCAAGAGCCGAGACCACCGCTCCAAACTGAGAGTGAAGGTGACCCGACTCACCATGGAGAGACCACTGGAACTGGAGACCTCCCTGGGGGTGCGGAAGAGAGAGGACCCAGAAATACATGAGGAGGGGGAAGGGGAGGAGAGAGAGGAGGAGGAAGGGGAGGAGAGAGAGGAGGAGGAAGGGGAGGAGGAGAGAGGAGGAGGAAGGGGAGGAGAGAAGGAGGAGGAAGGGGAAAAGAGGGAGGAGGAAAGGGAAAAGAGGGAGGAGGAAAGAGGGAGGGGAAGAGAGGGAGGAGGAAGGAAAGGAGAGAGAGAGAGGGGGGAGGGGAGAGGAGGAGAGAGAGAGAGGGGGAAGGAGAGAGGAGAGAGGGGAAAGGGAGGGAGAGAGAGAAGAGGAAGGGGAGGAGAGAGAGGAGGAAGGGGAGGAGAGAGAGGGGGGAGGAGAGAGAGGGGGGAGGAGAGGGAGGGGAGGAGAGAGAGAGGGGGAAGGGAAGGAGAGAGGAAGGGGGAAGAGGAAGGAGGTTGGGGTCAGAAGAAGGAAGGGATGGATGAACGGGGGAAGAAGGATGTGAGGGAGGTTGGGGTCAGAAGAAGGAAGGGATGGATGACGGGAGGGAAGAAGGATGTGAGGGAGGTTGGGGTCAGAAGAAGGAAGGGATGGATGACAGGAGGGAAGAAGGATGTGAGGGAGGTTGGGGTCGGAAGAAGGAAGGGATGGATGACGGGAGGGAAGAATGGATATGAAGGAGGTTGGGGTCAGAAGAAGGAAGGGATGGATGACGGGAGGGAAGAAGGATTGAGGAGGTTGGGGTCGGAAGAAGGAAGGGATGGATGACGGGAGGGAAGAAGGATGTGAGGGAGGTTGGGGTTCAGAAGAAGGAAGGGATGGATGACGGGAGGGAAGATGGATATGAAGGAGGTTGGGGTCAGAAGAAGGAAGGGATGGATGATGGGAGGGAAGAAGGATATGAAGGAGGTTGGGGTCAGAAGAAGGAAGGGAGTTAAGACATAAAGATGAAAGGAAATGGAAAGGAATGGAGTGAGAGAGGAATGAAGAGAGTGAGAGAGGACCTGGGAGGGAGTGGGGAGGAGGTGTAGAGGTGAAGACGAGACGAAGGACAGATCTGGTCTCACCTGAATACAGCGATATACAGACACCTGTCCAGACCATCGAACATCATAGAAATGAGGAGCCGCAATCAGCACCACATCTGAGAGATCGTCCTGGTCAATGTCACAAACCTCAATCTCTGAGCCAAAGTACGAGCCGACCTGACAGCATGGAGGAGAGAGAACTTCAATGACTCCATGTGTACATATCTATACTGTCCTCTCTGTATTGTCCCTCCCTGTATATAGTATAATAGGAGGGTCTCTTGTATGGAGGGGTCTCTCACCTGCTCTCCTGAGATGTTCCGGATCCACTCTGCTCCATCTGGTGTCTCTCGGAAGACAGTCACGAGTCCGACATACTGGTACCTTGGGGCTCCCGCCACATAGAAGGTCCCCTCTGGGGTCCGCAGAATGTCTAGAGAGTATCCTGCAGATTGTCAGAGACTTAGAGAAGGTGGAGGAAGATACGGCTGTACATCTGGAGGAACTCCTGTGACTGGACAGCAAGTGGGTGGCAGGCTGACCCCAGGAGCTTACATTCTAATATCCTGTGCAGAGATTTTTTCTGCCCTACTTTCAGCACATAGATGACATCACACATCTGACATCACTCACCCAGATATCCGTATTTGTCATCCTCCTGGAGAGAGATGTTCATCAGCTTCTCAGGCCCAGAAATATTGAGCATTCCACCCGACCAATCAAAGATCCCGGGGTCTCCAAGGAACTGATGGTCCTACAATGGAAAGGATTCACTGCTGGTCACAACCCGATATGTCCTACCAGACCACGACAGAGAGGACACACTCCAACCAGACCGAGATCTACAGTGACAGAGAGGACACACCCCAACCAGACCGAAATCTACAATGACAGGACAAACTCCAACCAGACCGAGATCGACGATGACAGAGAGGACACACTCCAACCAGACCGAGATCTACAATGACAGAGAGGACACACTCCACCCAGACCAAGATCTAGAATGACAGAGAGGACACACTCCACTCAGAATGAGATCTACAATGACAGAGAGGACACACTCCACCCAGAATGAGATCTACAATGACAGAGAGGACACACCCCCCAACCAGACCGAAATCTACAATGACAGGACAAACTCCAACCAGACCGAGATCGACGATGACAGAGAGGACACACCCCAACCAGACCGAGATCTACAATGACAGAGAGGACACACCCCAACCAGACCGAGATCTACAATGACAGAGAGGACACACTCCAACCAGACCGAGATCTACAGTGACAGAGAGGACACACCCCAACCAGACCGAAATCTACAATGACAGGACAAACTCCAACCAGACCGAGATCGACGATGACAGAGAGAACACACTCCACCCAGACCGAGATCTACAATGACAGAGAGGACACACTCCACCCAGACCGAGATCTAGAATGACAGGACAAACTCCAACCAGACCGAGATCTACAATGACAGAGAGGACACACCCCAACCAGACCGAAATCTACAATGACAGGACAAACTCCAACCAGACCGAGATCGACGATGACAGGACAAACTCCAACCAGACCGAGATCGACGATGACAGAGAGGACACACCCCAACCAGACCGAAATCTAGAATGACAGAGAGGACACACTCCAACCAGACCGAGATCTAGAATGACAGAGAGGACACACTCCAACCAGACCGAGATCTAGAATGACAGAGAGGACACACTCCAACCAGACCGAGATCTAGAATGACAGAGAGGACACACTCCACCCAGACCGAGATCTACAATGACCGGACAAACTCCAACCAGACCGAAATCTACAATGACAGAGAGGACACACCCCAACCAGACCGAGATCTACAATGACAGAGAGGACACACTCCAACCAGACCAAGATCTACAATGACAGAGAGGACACACCCAACCAGACCGAAATCTACAATGACAGGACAAACTCCAACCAGACCGAGATCGACGATGACAGAGAGGACACACTCCACCCAGACCGAGATCTACAATGACCGGACAAACTCCAACCAGACCGAAATCTACAATGACAGGACAAACTCCAACCAGACCGAGATCTACAATGACAGAGAGGACACACCCCAACCAGACCGAAATCTACAATGACAGGACAAACTCCAACCAGACCGAGATCGACGATGACAGGACAAACTCCAACCAGACCGAGATCGACGATGACAGAGAGGACACACTCCACCCAGACCGAGATCTACAATGACAGAGAGGACACACTCCAACCAGACCGAGATCTAGAATGACAGAGAGGACACACTCCAACCAGACCGAGATCTAGAATGACAGAGAGGACACACTCCAACCAGACCGAGATCTAGAATGACAGAGAGTACACACTCCACCCAGACCGAGATCTACAATGACCGGACAAACTCCAACCAGACCGAAATCTACAATGACAGAGAGGACACACACCCAACCAGACCGAGATCTACAATGACAGAGAGGACACACCCCAACCAGACCGAGATCTACAATGACAGAGAGGACACACTCCAACCAGACCGAGATCTACAATGACAGAGAGGACACACTCCAACCAGACCGAGATCTACAATGACAGAGAGGACACACTCCAACCAGACCGAGATCTACAATGACAGAGAGGACACACTCCAACCAGACCGAGATCTACAATGACAGAGAGGACACACTCCACCCAGACCGAGATCTACAATGACAGAGAGGACACACTCCAACCAGACCGAAATCTACAATGACCGGACAAACTCCAACCAGACCAAAATCTACAATGACAGAGAGGACACACCCCAACCAGACCGAGATCTACAATGACAGAGAGGACACACCCCAACCAGACCAAAATCTACAATGACAGGACAAACTCCAACCAGACCGAGATCGACGATGACAGAGAGGACACACTCCAACCAGACCGAGATCTACAATGCCAGAGAGTACACACTCCAACCAGACCGAGATCTGGAATGACAGAGAGGACACACTCCACCCAGAATGAGATCTACAATGACAGAGAGGACACACTCCAACCAGACCGAGATCTAGAATGACAGAGAGGACACACTCCAACCAGACCGAGATCTAGAATGACAGAGAGGACACACTCCAACCAGACCGAGATCTAGAATGACAGAGAGGACACACTCCAACCAGACCGAGATCTAGAATGACAGAGAGGACACACTCCAACCAGACCGAGATCTAGAATGACAGAGAGGACACACTCCAACCAGACCGAGATCTAGAATGACAGAGAGGACACACTCCAACCAGACCGAGATCTAGAATGACAGAGAGGACACACTCCAACCAGACCGAGATCTAGAATGACAGAGAGGACACACTCCACCCAGAATGAGATCTACAATGACAGAGAGGACACACTCCACCCAGACCGAGATCTAGAATGACAGAGAGGACACACTCCAACCAGAATGAGATCTACAATGACAGAGAGGACACACTCCACCCAGACCGAGATCTAGAATGACAGAGAGGACACACTCCAACCAGACCGAGATCTACAATGACAGAGAGGACACACTCCACCCAGAATGAGATCTACAATGACAGAGAGGACACACTCCACCCAGAATGAGATCTACAATGACAGAGAGGACACACTCCAACCAGACCGAGATCTAGAATGACAGAGAGGACACACCCCAACCAGACCGAGATCTAGAATGACAGAGAGGACACACTCCAACCAGACCGAGATCTAGAATGACAGAGAGGACACACTCCAACCAGACCGAGATCTAGAATGACAGAGAGGACACACTCCAACCAGACCGAGATCTAGAATGACAGAGAGGACACACTCCAACCAGACCGAGATCTAGAATGACAGAGAGGACACACTCCAACCAGACCGAGATCTAGAATGACAGAGAGGACACACTCCAACCAGACCGAGATCTAGAATGACAGAGAGGACACACTCCAACAAGACCGAGATCTACAATGACAGAGAGGACACACTCCACCCAGACCGAGATCTAGAATGACAGAGAGGACACACTCCAACCAGACCGAGATCTACAATGACAGAGAGGACACACTCCACCCAGACCGAGATCTAGAATGACAGAGAGGACACACTCCAACCAGACCGAGATCTACAATGACAGAGAGGACACACTCCAACCAGACCGAGATCTAGAATGACAGAGAGGACACACTCCAACCAGACCGAGATCTACAATGACAGAGAGGACACACTCCAACCAGACCGAGATCTACAATGACAGAGAGGACACACTCCACCCAGACCGAGATCTAGAATGACAGAGAGGACACACTCCAACCAGACCGAGATCTACAATGACAGAGAGGACACACTCCAACCAGACCGAGATCTACAATGACAGAGAGGACACACCCCAACCAGACCGAGATCTACAATGACAGAGAGGACACACTCCAACCAGACCAAGATCTAGAATGACAGAGAGGACACACTCCAACCAGACCGAGATCTACAATGACAGAGAGGACACACTCCACCCAGAATGAGATCTACAATGACAGAGAGGACACACTCCACCCAGACCGAGATCTAGAATGACAGAGAGGACACACTCCAACCAGAATGAGATCTACAATGACAGAGAGGACACACTCCACCCAGACCGAGATCTACAATGACAGAGAGTACACACTCCAACCAGACCGAAATCTACAATGACCGGACAAACTCCAACCAGACCGAAATCTACAATGACAGAGAGGACACACCCCAACCAGACCGAGATCTACAATGACAGAGAGGACACACCCCAACCAGACCAAAATCTACAATGACAGGACAAACTCCAACCAGACCGAGATTGACGATGACAGAGAGGACACACTCCAACCAGACCGAGATCTACAATGACAGAGAGTACACACTCCAACCAGACCGAGATCTGGAATGACAGAGAGGACACACTCCAACCAGAAGGAGATCTACAATAACAGAGTGGACACACTCCACCCAGAAGGAGATCTACAATGACAGAGAGGACACACTCCAACCAGAATGAGATCTACAATGACAGAGAGGACACACTCCACCCAGACCGAGATCTAGAATGACAGAGAGGACACACTCCACCCAGACCGAGATCTAGAATGACAGAGAGGACACACTCCAACCAGACCGAGATCAAGAATGACAGAGAGGACACACTCCACCCAGAATGAGATCTACAATGACAGAGAGGACACACTCCAACCAGACCAAGATCTAGAATGACAGAGAGGACACACTCCACCCAGAATGAGATCTACAATGACAGAGAGGACACACTCCAACCAGACCGAGATCTACAATGACAGAGAGGACACACTCCACCCAGACCGAGATCTACAATGACAGAGAGGACACACTCCACCCAGAATGAGATCTACAATGACAGAGAGGACACACTCCAACCAGACCGAGATCTACAATGACAGAGAGGACACACTCCACCCAGACCGAGATCTACAATGACAGAGAGGACACACTCCACCCAGAATGAGATCTACAATGACAAAGAGGACACACTCCACCCAGACCGAGATCTACAATGACAGAGAGGACACACTCCACCCAGACCGAGATCTAGAATGACAGAGAGGACACACTCCACCCAGAATGAGATATCTCATATCTGCCATGCGTACAGAGAGTGCAGCTTTGCAAAGAACAATTTCCTCCCTCCAAACTCGCAAGGTGATACCAGCCCACATAATGGTAACCCAACCAGCATTTCTTCTAAACCAACCGGTGTCAGTGCAGCGCTGAGACCTGCAGATGAGAGTTCTCTGGAGAAACTGGTTCCCTGAGCTGATCCTGGGGAGATAAAACAGATAACGGCATCAATCATCCACTCACATAACATGGAGCCATACCTAATGACCCTTCGCAGCTTCCAGCTGGCCATTCCCAACTCAATGAGCCCACAACTCAAGGCTTGCTTAGGAGTATGGCCAATAAGGCAATAGCCAACAGTTCATATAGTGTGCATCATACACCCCCTCCTCCAACAAAGACTACGGCCAAATCCCCTGACATCCCCCAATTCTCCATCATAGGCTGGGCCTCATCATTACATCCCCCAATCCTCCATCATAGACTGGGCCCCATCATTACATCCCCCAATCCTCCATCATAGACTGGGCCTCATCATTACATCCCCCAATCCTCCATCATAGACTGGGCCTCATCCCCCCAATCCTCCATCATAGACTGGGCCTCATCCCCCCAATCCTCCATCATAGACTGGGCCTCATCATTACATCCCCCAATCCTCCATCATAGACTGGGCCTCATCATTACATCCTCCATCATAGACTGGGCCTCATCATTACATCCCCCAATCCTCCATCATAGACTGGGCCTCATCATTACATCCTCCAATCCTCCATCATAGACTGGGCCTCATCATTACATCCCCCAATCCTCCATCATAGACTGGGCCTCATCATTACATCCCCCAATCCTCCATCATAGACTGGACCTCATCATTACATCCTCCAATCCTCCATCATAGACTGGGCCTCATCATTACATCCCCCAATCCTCCATCATAGACTGGACCTCATCATTACATCCCCCAATCCTCCATCATAGGCTGGGCCTCATCATTACATCCCCCAATCCTCCATCATAGACTGGGCCTCATCATTACATCCCCCAATCCTCCATCATAGACTGGACCTCATCATTACATCCCCCAATCCTCCATCATAGACTGGACCTCATCATTACATCCCCCAATCCTCCATCATAGACTGGACCTCATCATTACATCCCCCAATCCTCCATCATAGACTGGGCCTCATCCCCCCAATCCTCCATCATAGACTGGGCCTCATCATTACATCCTCCATCATAGATGGACCCTCATCATTACATCCTCCATCATAGACTGGGCCTCATCATTACATCCCCCAATCCTCCATCATAGACTGGGCCTCATCATTACATCCTCCATCATAGACTGGACCTCATCATTACATCCTCCATCATAGACTGGACCTCATCATTACATCCCCCAATCCTCCATCATAGACTGGGCCTCATCATTACATCCTCCATCATAGACTGGGCCTCATCATTACATCCTCCATCATAGACTGGGCCTCATCATTACATCCCCCAATCCTCCATCATAGACTGGGCCTCATCATTACATCCTCCATCATAGACTGGGCCTCATCATTACATCCTCCATCATAGACTGGACCTCATCATTACATCCTCCATCATAGACTGGGCCTCATCATTACATCCTCCATCATAGACTGGACCTCATCATTACATCCCCCAATCCTCCATCATAGACTGGACCTCATCATTACATCCCCCAATCCTCCATCATAGACTGGGCCTCATCATTACATCCTCTATCATAGACTGGGCCTCATCATTACATCCTCCATCATAGACTGGACCTCATCATTACATCCCCCAATCCTCCATCATAGACTGGGCCTCATCATTACATCCTCCAATCCTCCATCATAGACTGGGCCTCATCATTACATCCTCCATCATAGACTGGACCTCATCATTACATCCTCCATCATAGACTGGACCTCATCATTACATCCCCCAATCCTCCATCATAGACTGGGCCTCATCATTACATCCCCCAATCCTCCATCATAGACTGGGCCTCATCATTACATCCTCCAATCCTCCATCATAGACTGGGCCTCATCATTACATCCTCCATCATAGACTGGGCCCCATCATTACATCCCCCAATCCTCCATCATAGACTGGGCCTCATCATTACATCCCCCAATCCTCCATCATAGACTGGGCCTCATCATTACATCCCCCAATCCTCCATCATAGACTGGACCTCATCATTACATCCCCCAATCCTCCATCATAGACTGGGCCTCACCATTACATCCCCCAATCCTCCATCATAGACTGGACCTCATTATTACATCCCCCAATCCTCCATCATACCTCCATCATAGACTGGGGCCTCATCATTACATCCCCCAATCCCCCAATCCTCCATCATAGACTGGGCCCCATCATTACATCCCCCAATCCTCCATCATAGACTGGGCCTCATCATTACATCCCCCAATCCTCCATCATAGACTGGGCCTCATCATTACATCCCCCAATCCTCCATCATAGACTGGGCCTCATCATTACATCCTCCATCATAGACTGGGCCTCGTCATTACATCCCCCAATCCTCCATCATAGACTGGGCCTCATCATTACATCCCCCAATCCTCCATCATAGACTGGGCCCCATCATTACATCCCCCAATCCTCCATCATAGACTGGGCCCCATCATTACATCCCCCAATCCTCCATCATAGACTGGGCCTCATCATTACATCCCCCAATCCTCCATCATAGACTGGGCCTCATCATTACATCCCCTAATCCTCCATCATAGACTGGACCTCATCATTACATCCCCCAATCCTCCATCATAGACTGGGCCTCATCATTACATCCCCTAATCCTCCATCATAGACTGGGCCTCATCATTACATCCCCCAATCCTCCATCATAGACTGGACCTCATCATTACATCCCCCAATCCTCCATCATAGACTGGGCCTCATCATTACATCCCCCAATCCTCCATCATAGACTGGGCCTCATCATTACATCCCCCAATCCTCCATCATAGACTGGACCTCATAATTACATCCCCCAATCCTCCATCATAGACTGGACCTCATCATTACATCCCCCAATCCTCCATCATAGACTGGACCTCATCATTACATCCCCCAATCCTCCATCATAGACTGGACCTCATCATTACATCCCCCAATCCTCCATCATAGACTGGGCCTCATCCCCCCAATCCTCCATCATAGACTGGGCCTCATCATTACATCCCCCAATCCTCCATCATAGACTGGGCCTCATCATTACATCCTCCAATAGACCCTCATCATTAGACTGGACCTCATCATTACATCCTCCATCATAGACTGGACCTCATCATTACATCCCCCAACTGGGCCTCATCATTCAATCCTCTCCATCATAGACTGGGCCTCATCATTACATCCTCCATCATAGACTGGGCCTCATCATTACATCCTCCATCATAGACTGGGCCTCATCATTACATCCCCCAATCCTCCATCATAGACTGGGCCTCATCATTACATCCTCCATCATAGACTGGGCCTCATCATTACATCCTCCATCATAGACTGGACCTCATCATTACATCCTCCATCATAGACTGGGCCTCATCATTACATCCTCCATCATAGACTGGACCTCATCATTACATCCCCCAATCCTCCATCATAGACTGGACCTCATCATTACATCCCCCAATCCTCCATCATAGACTGGGCCTCATCATTACATCCTCCATCATAGACTGGACCCTCATCATTACATCCTCCATCATAGACTGGACCTCATCATTACATCCCCCAATCCTCCATCATAGACTGGGCCTCATCATTACATCCTCCAATCCTCCATCATAGACTGGGCCTCATCATTACATCCTCCATCATAGACTGGACCTCATCATTACATCCTCCATCATAGACTGGACCTCATCATTACATCCCCCAATCCTCCATCATAGACTGGGCCTCATCATTACATCCCCCAATCCTCCATCATAGACTGGGCCTCATCATTACATCCCTCCAATCCTCCATCATAGACTGGGCCTCATCATTACATCCTCCATCATAGACTGGACCTCATCATTACATCCTCCATCATAGACTCCCCCATCATTACATATCCTCCATCATAGACTGGGCCTCATCATTACATCCCCCAATTACATCCCCCAATCCTCCATCATAGACTGGGCCTCATCATTACATCCCCCCAATCCTCCATCATAGACTGGGCCTCATCATTACATCCCCCAATCCTCCATCATAGACTGGGCCCCATCATTACATCCCCCAATCCTCCATCATAGACTGGGCCCCATCATTACATCCCCCAATCCTCCATCATAGACTGGGCCCATCATCATTAATCCCCCAATCCTCCATCATAGACTGGGCCTCATCATTACATCCCCCCCAATCCTCCATCATAGACTGGGCCTCATCATTACATCCCCCAATCCTCCATCATAGACTGGGCCTCATCATTACATCCCCCAATCCTCCATCAGAGACTGGGCCTCATCATTACATCCCCCAATCCTCCATCATAGACTGGGCCTCATCATTACATCCTCCATCATAGACTGGGCCTCATCATTACATCCCCCAATCCTCCATCATAGACTGGGCCTCATCATTACATCCCCCAATCCTCCATCATAGACTGGGCCCCATCATTACATCCCCCAATCCTCCATCATAGACTGGGCCCCATCATTACATCCCCCAATCCTCCATCATAGACTGGGCCTCATCATTACATCCCCCAATCCTCCATCATAGACTGGGCCTCATCATTACATCCCCTAATCCTCCATCATAGACTGGACCTCATCATTACATCCCCCAATCCTCATCATTACATCATAGACTGGGCCTCACCATTACATCCCCCAATCCTCCATCATAGACTGGACCTCATCATTACATCCCCCAATCCTCCATCATACCTCCATCATAGACTGGGCCTCATCATTACATCCCCCAATCCTCCATCATAGACTGGGCCTCATCATTACATCCTCCATCATAGACTGGGCCCCATCATTACATCCCCCAATCCTCCATCATAGACTGGGCCTCATCATTACATCCCCCAATCCTCCATCATAGACTGGGCCTCATCATTACATCCTCCATCATAGACTGGACCTCATCATTACATCCCCCAATCCTCCATCATAGACTGGGCCTCATCATTACATCCCCCAATCCTCCATCAGAGACTGGGCCTCATCATTACATCCCCTAATCCTCCATCATAGACTGGGCCTCATCATTACATCCTCCATCATAGACTGGGCCTCATCATTACATCCCCCAATCCTCCATCATAGACTGGGCCTCATCATTACATCCCCCAATCCTCCATCATAGACTGGGCCCCATCATTACATCCCCCAATCCTCCATCATAGACTGGGCCCCATCATTACATCCCCCAATCCTCCATCATAGACTGGGCCTCATCATTACATCCCCCAATCCTCCATCATAGACTGGGCCTCATCATTACATCCCCTAATCCTCCATCATAGACTGGACCTCATCATTACATCCCCCAATCCTCCATCATAGACTGGGCCTCATCATTACATGCTCCATCATAGACTGGACCTCATCATTACATCCCCCAATCCTCCATCATAGACTGGGCCTCATCATTACATCCCCCAATCCTCCATCATAGACTGGGCCTCATCATTACATCCTCCATCATAGACTGGACCTCATCATTACATCCTCCATCATAGACTGGACCTCATCATTACATCCCCCAATCCTCCATCATAGACTGGGCCTCATCATTACATCCCCCAATCCTCCATCATAGACTGGGCCTCATCATTACATCCCCCAATCCTCCATCATAGACTGGGCCTCATCATTACATCCTCCATCATAGACTGGACCTCATCATTACATCCTCCATCATAGACTGGGCCTCATCATTACATCCCCCATCATAGACTGGACCTCATCATTACATCCTCCATCATAGACTGGACCTCATCATTACATCCCCCAATCCTCCATCATAGACTGGACCTCATTAGGCTGGGCTTCGCCTTTATACCCCCCATAACAATTCCCAACCCCAACTCTCCCCCCCCCGCCCCCACACACACACTATCACAGGTTGGGCCAGAACACGGCATTATGCCCCCCATTACCCCCCACAGGCTGAACTTCTCCATTACACCTCCCCATTACTCTGTGAGAGGCTGGGCCTCACCATCACAACTCCTACTCCGTAACCTCAGGCCAGATCTCACAATTGCACCACCCCATTCCTTTACCACAGCCCCGGCCTCACCATTACATCCTTCATTCCCACAACAAAAGGTTTGGCATCAGCATTACACCTTTCATTACCCCACTACCAGCCACACCTCATCAATACAACCTTCATTCCTTCAGCATTGTCCAGGCCTCAGTATTACTCTCCATTCCTCTACAACAGACCAGGCCTCACCATCACACCACCTCATTCCTCCACCACAGGTCGGGCCTGGCCCATACCACCCCTGCTCCTCCATCACAGGCTGGACCTCACCATTATACCCATCCAGTCCTCCACCACCACAGGCTGGTGCTCACCATTGCAGACACTCCTGGAAGTTGCAGCACAGGTCTGAACACCCTCGATCTCCAGGATTTTTTGCTGCAGTTCTGCAAACAGGTTCTCCAGCTCTTTGAAGTCCACCAGAACCCGGTGTGGATGTCAGTTCGGCTCTGAGGCAAGTTCTTTCATCTGTTTCTTCGCTAGTTCAGAAGTGTTGAAATTGTTCCCAACCTGGTGGTGAGGGATGTGAAGATGGAGATAGGAGATGTATGGCAGCACACAGAGATGGGGCTGAAGAATAATGAAATCCCACCAATCCACTCACCTTCATCCTCCATACCCAGAAGACCCAACACATCCATCCACTGAGAAGAGTCATACTAGGCAGATCTACAGTGTAACGTGGGGGATGGGCAAGAAAACCAAAAGGAAGGTAATAATAGGGAGATGATGGACAAGGGTGGAGAACAATCGGTCCCTACAGAACTAGTACTTGTTATAAATGGATGCCTGAGGGCTGAAGTACCACCAGCTTCATATGTGCGGACAGTCAGAGCTGGAAATCCAGGTGAAGAGATTTTACTCCTTGTGTTCCTGGGGGTGGGGGGGGGTTAAGAAGCCAGCAAGTGACTAAATCATCCCGTATTCCATGCAACTAACACACCTCCTGTATTAGAGTGTCTCCACTCTGGATGGAGGAGCAATGGAGCCACGTTTGGACAGCAGCATTGTCAGTCTGGGGAGACGGTTGGAGTGTTAGATGGACCAGCACATTTAGATGGACTTGACTAACAAATTGAAGGTGAACTCAGAGAACACAGATAGTCGGTTGCAGTAACGGTTTTGTTCCTTTTGGGATGAAGGTTTTACATAAATTAATGAATGCTGATCATTGTAAGCACCCCTGTCAGTGGTAAATGGTTTATTCCAACCCTCTAAATGACACTTTTGCTGGACAGCTTGGTCTGTTAAAGCAGTGTTTCTCAACTCCAGTCCTCATGGACCCCCAACAGGTCATGTTTTCAGGATTTCCATTATTTTGCACAGGTGATGATTTGATCAGTTTCACTGCCTTAGTAATTACCACAGCTGTTTCATCTGAGGGAAATCCTGAAAACATGACCTGTTGGGGGTCCATGAGGACTGGAGTTGAGAAACACTGTGTTAAAGGAAGATGGAAAATAACAGATTTTCTGCCAGGATCACCAGGCAAGAATAAAGAAAAAAAAGCCTAGAAATAAAAGGGAAACTAATGCAGCCATCACATGGAAGAACTAGTGAGCTGCAGTTCAATACATTTTTGTTTTTGGATGAATTTCCGCTTTACAAGAAGGAATACAATAGTTACCCCCGATAAGATAGCGTTTCACTCCCATCTTATCGGCCCGGTCGATGATTTCACCTTTTTCATCATCTGCTTCTCCATCTGTCAGCATCAGGAGGACCTTCTTGGCCTTTGGACGGTGTCCGGCCTTCTCTGTATAAATATTATCCCTGTATGGAAGAACCGACATCACATCAGTACATGACAGCCACAAGAAGACCCGAAGAACACAAGGAACCTAAAGAGGTCCAAAAGTGAAATCTTCTGGAAGCTGATCAACCTCATCTAACCAACCAAGACATTGATATCACAACCATAGCTTCCAACTGTCTCCTGTTTGGAGGGACTGTCCCTCTATGGAAGCCATTTCCTTCCATCCGTTTCCTCCTTAGTTGCTCCTATTTTGTGGTCTGATATTTAGGCCTCTATAAAATAAAAATGGCCAATTTACCTACAAAACATGTTGGGCTACACGTAACCTTTCACCCAACCTCAAAATGTGGTGTTTTATTTAAATCTTTTATTAAACTTTTTTTTTTTTTTTTCCTTACAAATGCACAGCAAAATATCATTTGCATCCAAAATAAAACATTCCCTTAAATTTTGCAATCCCACCTCCCCACAACCCCTTCCCTCACCCAAACCCCCTAATAATTTACCCCGCTCCATATGGCTCTTCCCTTCTCTTCCCATTCTATACCTGGGATCTTTCTCCTCGATCCTCACGTCCAACTCTTCCTTTTTCTTACTATTCTTCCTTTCTTCCAGCCTTTCTTTTCCCTTCTCCTTATCCATGCTACAGCCTTACAAATCATTCCCTTTATTCTCCCACCTCCAATCAGGTCCCTGGGCCCCCCACTACTTCCAGATATTTTCCAGATGCCTTGAAGTCAGACCATCTTCTCCAATCCTTTTCTAAATGTAGCCATGTTTCCTTCACCTATATGGTATACATCCTCCATCCTATTTATATATTCCACCCGGTCTAACCAGTCCCTCATTGGTGGGGCTCCTGTGACTCTGATCAGGTGGTACAATGTACTGTTTTTATACTGCTTCACTGATGCTTCCTAGAAAACACACCCACGGGTCCTTCTGTATAGAGGTACCTAATATCTCTTGTATGAATTGGATGACCTCTTGCCAAAACTCTTCTATTTTTGGACAGTCCCACCATATATGTGCCATTGTTCCCTAGATCAGGCATGTCCAAAGTCTGGCCCGCGGCCAATTGCGGCCCGCGTTCCGGACTGAAACGGCCCCACAGGTGAGCTACCCAAATATATAACTTACGGCCCCCGGTAGTGATTCCCTGAAAGCTACTGAGGATTCCAGCGATCTCTAGCTGCGGCACTTGACATCATCAGCTGGCGCAGGAAGGAGAGCCCAAATCTCGCGACGTCCGAGATCTCGTGAGATTTGGGCTTTCCTTCTCTGTGTGCCGGCTGATGACGTCAATTCCTGCTCGACAGATCCCTGGAGTCCTCAGTGGCGTTCGCAGAATCACTAGTGGAGGGCCGTAAGTTATATATTGGGCAGCTCATCTGTGGGGTCCGGAACGTGGGCCGAGGGATCCCAGGTGGTGCGCAGGGAATTACTACTGGGGCTACCATTTATCAATTTGGGCTATAATGGATTGGTGCTCAGGATCGCTTGATGTCATCAGACAGTGCAAGGAGAAACAAAGCCCAAATCTCGCGACCTCCGAGATCTCGCGAGATTTGGGCTTTCCTTCTCCCTGTGCTGGCTGATGACGTCAAGTCATTTGCATTTAATTTTAATGGTTCATCAGAATGTCGGGCAAAATGGTCGGTCCTCGCACATGTTCACTTCATCAAATCTGGCACTCTTCCAAAAAAGTTTGGACACCCCTGCCTTAGATCCACATCCCCTCCAACATAACGGTGAGACTTCCTCTCGTTGTTGATGTACAACACTTGGTGTCAGATACCACCTCGTTAAACATTTATAATTCATTTCCACCGTGTTCATGTTAATCGCCCCATGTGTTGATTCAAACATTTTACTTTTCTGTGATTCACTCATTTTTGTTCCCAGTTCCCTTTCCCATTTCACTAAGAACAGCGGAGGACCCCCCCAGTTCAACAAGAATCTTTTATATCCGAGAAGTAGCATGCTTTGGCACCATCCTGGAACCCAACATCTTTTCATATGGGAGCATGTCCTCCATCATCCTCAGTGGTTGGGGCAACTTTGCTACAAAATGTCTTAACTGACAATATCTCAATTCATTTATTGACGCAAATAACTCTTTTACTATTTAAGTCTTGAAAAAAGTGCCCGACTTCCCTTTGACTACTATATCCCCCAAACGTGCATCTATGTCTTTAAACCATTTCCTCAAAATGTTATCCTTCCCTGGCGGTGAAAAACTCAGTACCCACCAGGGGACTCAACAGTGAATGGTACTTCCAATCCAGTTGGTTGTGCATTCCATCCCATACACTTAGTACCTCCTGTGTCAATGTACTACTAGTCCCATCCAAAGTGCGACACTCTTGTGGTGTCCAGATAATCCTCTCTAATCGTGTGAAACTTAGTGTACCTTCTATTCCAACCCAACTCTTCCCCTGTGAATTATATGTCCAATCCGTCACAATATCACCGCAGTGTAATAATCCCTAATATTGGGCAGGTTTAGTCCTCCTTTCTCTTTCTTATTACACAGAACTTCATATCTAGTTCTCAGTTTCTTATTGGCCCATATATATTTAAGTATTCAGTTTTTTATATTATCCCAAAGAAGGATCCTGGGATGTGGACTGGGAGCATGTGAAATTTATATAAGATTTTTGGGACCATTTTTAACCAGATTTATACATCCGATCCAGGAGACCCTTCCCCCTTCTTCTCAGCTCATTTAGTAATGGAATATAGTTCGCCCGGTATATATTATTTATAGAAGGAGTCAACTTTACACTTAGGTAACCTAATTCCTTCTCCCTCCATGAAAATGGAAAGTCTTTTTGTAAAGTCTGCATCACATTCTTTGAAACACTGATGTTCAAGATCTCTGATTTAGAGGGGTTTATTTTCAAGTTTGAAAGCCCTTTTAGTAATCCCATTAGGTTAGGCAGAGTTATCCCGGAATTCACAATATAAAACAACATATCCTCAGCATATGCCGCCACCTCTATCTCGCTTATCTTGATTCCTCTAATATCTTCACTCTTCCTTACCATTGCCAGCAAAGGTTCCAGGGATATTACAAATAGTAACGGGGATAGGGGGCATCCCGGCCTTGTACTGTTGTACATCTTAAAAGAACTCAAGAGGGACCTGTTTACCTTCACTGCCGCTTACGGGCTATTATAGAGCTCCTTTATCCAACTCATCATCTTAGTCCCTATTCCCAAGGCCTCTAGGATAACCGTCATAAACTCCCAATCTACCCTGTCAAATGCTTTCTTGGCATCGATCGACAATAAAATTGTTGGTAGTTTTTCTCTCTTTGCCTTCTGTAGAAGAGGCAATGTTCTCAAACCATTATCCCTCCCTTCCCAGGACAAAACCCGCCTGATCCGAATGTATCCATTCCAGCATCAGCTCTTTTATCCTCGTAGCTAGCACCTTCATGAACAGTTTTGTATCTGTATTTAGTAGGGATATAGATCTATAGCTAGCACATTGTGAACTGTCCTTTCCTTCTTTTAGGATGATCGTTATATACACTTGCAGCGATTCTGCTCTTATTCCCGTTCCCTCTCCTAAGGAGTTCATATATGTACAAAGTTTAGGGACCAGTAAGTCTCCAAAGTTCTTGTAGTAACCCACCATGTTCCCATCGAGTCCTGGGCTCTTCCCTCCCGCTATATTCTTCAGGGCTGTATTAATTTCCTCTTGGGAGATCGCTTGTTCTAACAATACTAATTTTTCTTTTGATATTTTTGGGAGGTCTACCACATTTAAAAATTCCTGCCGTTTCCTCTTTTTTCTTCCTCTGAAACTTTCGTGTTCCTAGTATTTACATCATACAACCTACTATAAAATGTTTGGAAAGTTTCAGCAATATCAGTGGTGGAATAGACCAGTTCTCCTTTTTCATCTTTAATTTTTTCAATATAATTCTTTGATTTCTTCTCCTTAAGTCTTTTCATCAAATATTTCCCTGGCTTAATCCCCTACTGATCTCTTTCCTTTGAGACCTATTGAAGATCTTCCTTGATTCCTGTTCCAGTAGGTCTTTTAACTCTTCTCTTAAGTATGATCTTCGAATGGACTTCTGTATCCGGTCTCTTTTTATGTGTCTGTTCTAACCTATATAACTCCTGCTTCACCTCCTTTATTTTTATCTCCCGATCTTTTTTTTTTTTGTTCCTGCGGCTATCAGGATTTCCCTCACAAACGCCTTATGTGCTTCCCAGATGGTGGCCACAGAGACTTCCTCAGTTTCATTCAACAGAAAAAATGGCTCTATTTCCTCCCTTAGCCTCCTCTCTTCTTCCGGGTCCTGTATAAGCATCTCCTTTAGTCTCCACATTGCCCTTTTGTTCCCTTTTCGTCCTGCCTATAATCTCATTGTGATAGGAGCATGATCTGAGATAGACATAACTTCAATATTGGATTTAATCAATAAATCCAATTGTCTATGCACGATCATAATATAATCCAACCATGAGTACGATCTGTGCACCAGGGAAAAGAAGGTATAATCTCTTTCTCTGGGGTGTTTCACCCTCCATGCGTCCATCAACTGACCTTGATGTAACCTCTTTTTCGACATTCTTAATTTTTTACCTCCTCTTCTCTGCGCACTCAAAGACGTATCCATCCATGGATTAAGGCGAAAATTAGAATCTCCTGCCAAAACCTTAATATTGGGCAGATTTAATCCTCCTTTTAAACTCAATAATTTTCCCGAACACTCCGTACAGAAATACCTCTGGATTTTGATTCTGGCAGTAAATATTGACCAAGGTATAGCTTTGTCCCCGCATTTTCCCTCTTAAACATAGAAACTGTCCCTCTAGGTCCACCAATCTCTCCTCCACGTCAAAACCCACGTTTTTTTGAGAACCCAATCGCAACTCC